TGACAAAATAGTATGTGTTCCACAAACAACCATGTGTAGGTAACATCCTTTACAAGAAAATAGTGCTGCAATAAAATAATTAACAGCTTGCCATTTACTACTTCAGGTGAGTTGAGGAGTGATTATTCATACTTGCAAGATTGTAAACTATTGGTTAAGATGTCATATATTTTTCACAAGAAGAATTTTATCATAATTTTCACAGTCTATACATCATGTAAATTTCTATGAAGTAATTTTTCCCCCCAAATTGTTCAACTCCCCTTTCCCTTAGCCAACAAGAATCATGGTTACCTTACTAGCAATCCACACTCTTCCTTTGGGTTCTGATCTTATTCTGACTCATTAGCTACTAAGAGGAAGGGGATATTGAATGCACCTGCATCAAGCTTCCCCATCTTCCCCATAACATAGCACCCTAAGGCTAATTTTGATATCTTATTCCAAGGCATTCACAATTCGTGTGTCCAGAGTTCATGTTAATTCTTTTACAAAAGATTTAAGTTACATATGCAGTAGAAATGAACTATCTTATATTTAAGGTTAAATCTTAAGCATTCACAGAATCATTTACACAGTACATCAGGGTTCAGGTTCATTCTGGATTTGAATCAAAGTTAGCATTGATAAGCACTTTTTAGGCATTGTTTGGCCATGGAATTAGTTTCTGCACACTGACCAAGACTGTGCCTGAAAATATGTATATAACATGAAGCCAGCATGGAAATACTTGACCTTGAGCAATGAATCAAAGACATCTCTATGGAAGTATTGCATTCTGGTTCCATGGCCTTGCACCCACAAAAATTCACATCAGGCATATCCCAAGAAGTCTAAACCACGTCGTTTTAGGAGAGAGAAAAGTTCTCCAGAGGGAAAGACCAGGAAGCATGTTAGCGTGGATATGTACGCTGTAGAGATGAATGGACTAATCATGGAAACCTGCTTTTGTGTCACAGAGCTATGGGCAAATGTTTTTCATTTCCTGCTTTAATCTAATATTTATGGGTGAAAAGTATGTGTTTCTTCTGGAGACTGAGTGTTAACCATCATTAGCAAAGACAGAAAGTAATTCATTTCCCAGTTTAGATATTCTTCTTTTCAGTAACACAGAAGGAGGAACTACATAGAAACTGTTATACATTCTTAGATATACAGTAAGAATAATTATGGAGGGAAACTTTTTAAGAGAAATGGCAAAGGCTTTCTCTTGAATGAAGTCTTTGGTTATAACTAGGCCTTGAATGACATTTGCTCCATGAACTATTAACAGGTTTTGCAGGCATCTGTTCAGCACTTGCCTTGAGGACCAGCATTAAATGATCTATCCTGAGTTATACAGCTCATAAAACATAGTTAATACAATTTACCTGGCATTAATGTACAATGATTACAGAATAAAACTATATCTTTAGTTCTGAGATAGCATATATAATTTATGAAGCTGCAGCTGAGCATATTGAGATTTCCGTTTTTTCAAAACATAAAGTCAGATGACCCTAAGAGAAAGCATAAACAAAGCTGAAACAAAAACTCTTGACATAAATTCCCATGACACTTGACAAGTTGAATGTCTCTCATTCCTTGGCTCACAGATTCCTAAGTTAAATAAAGCATAATGAAACACAGTTAGCAGGTCCTGGTTCTTCTATATCAACTTTTTATCACTTTATCAAAGCAAAAAGTGATGAGAGGTAATTTAAACTACAACCGAAACAAAGATATCTTACATTAAATACTCGATAAAAATATTGATAAAATATTAATACTTTGAGTCTAAGCAGAAATGAAATTATTGGTCTAGTTTACAGCATAGGATATAAAAGAGTAAATTTTCAAAATGATTAACGAAAGTTGAGGTGGGAAAATAAGTCTGTATAAAAATTGTAAAGGAAACCAGCTCACGGTGGTGAGGAGAGTATAGGAGGCCTGGTAGGGCGTGATCAATGGTGATGTAACCAAAAGGAATTACTGAAACCCAAATGAAGGCTGAGCATGATAGTGGGACAAGAGGAAAGTAAAAGGGAATAGAGGAAAGAGCTAGGAGGCAAAGGGCATTTATAGAGGTCTAAATAAAGGCATGTACATATGTAAACATGTTTATATATGAGGATGGGGAAATAGATCTATGTGCATAGATTTATAGGTTTAGTATTAAGGTAGCAGATGGACATTGGGCCTCTACTCAAGTACTCCCACAATCAAGAATATTTTGTTCTATTAAATTGGCATTCCATGATGCTCACCTTCCCGACACAATTGCTGAAGACAAAGCAAGTGCATAAGCAAATGTGAAGAAAGCTGATGGAGCCCAGCTATCAAAAGATATAGATAAAGTCTAGGGTCTTGAGGGTAAATAAGTGGCCATCTAGCTGAGAAGCAACAGAGCCCATATGGAAGAAGCACACCAGCCTGTGTGATTGCGAGGTGCCGAAGAGATCAGTTATCAGGCATCAAAGAACAAAAAAGGATATCATTGTGTGCTCACCTCCCCGATACAATCGCTGAAGACAAATTGGTGGATAAGCAAATGAGGTGAAGAAAGCTGATGGTGCCTGGCTATCAAAAGATATAGCGTCTGGGGTCTTACAGGCTTGAAGGTAAACAAGCAGCCATCTAGCTCAGAAGCAACAAAGCCCACATGGAAGAAGCAAACCAGCCTGTGCGATCACGAGGTGTCGAAGGGATGAGGTATCAGGCATCATCAGAACAAAAAATCATATCATTGTGAATGAGAGGGAATGTGGAGTAGAGACCCAAAACCCATCTGCAGGCAATTGGACATCCCCTTAAGGAAGGGTCAGGGGGAGGAGATGAGCCAATCAGGGAAGAGTGTAGCAATGATGAAACATACAACTTTCCTCAAGTTCCTAAATGTTCCTCCCCACCCACTATCATGATGCCAATTCTACCTTACAAACCTGGCTAGACTAGAGGATGTACACTGGTACAGATAGGAACTGGAAACACAGGGAATTCAGGACAGATGATCCCTTCAGGACCAGTAGTGAGAGTGGAGATACCGAGAGGGTGGTGGTAAGGTGAGGTAGAAAGGGCGAACAGATCACAGGGATCTACATATAACCTCCTCCCTGGAGGACGGACAACAGAAAAGTGGGTGAAGGGAGACTTCAGACAGTGTAAGATATGACAAAATAATAATTTGTAAGTTATCAAGGATTTATGAGAGAGGGGAAAGTGGGGAGGGAGGGGAGAAAATGAGGAGCTGATGACAGGGCTTAAGTGGAGAGCAAATGTTTGGAGAATGATGAGGGTAATGAATGTACAAGTGTGCTTTACACAATTGATGGGTGTATGGATTGTGATGAGTTGTATGAGCCCCCAATAAAATGATTTTAAAAAAAAGAATTATACTGACATAAATAAATAAATACGAAGGTTAAAAAAAAGAAAGCAGCTCATGATAAAGAAAAGAAAAAAAGACATAAGGCTTTGAAATTAGATTTACTTTTCAATTGATTTCTAATTCTATATAAAGATACTCAGCACATAACAAAAGACTAGTTCTTTTATCTTTAGACATGAACCTAAAAATTAACTGTCTTTAATAGTGAATATTTAATTAATTTTACCTTTTATTTGGTGTATCATTTGGAAGTAATTGAATTTTTTCTGTGCCGAGGGGCATTATTTTCTAGACCATTACTACTATCATCTGATTTCCTGTATAGAAAACAAAAGCAAACCCATTAGGTCTACCACTGCACTGGGTAACTCAGTATACCAATTACTGTAGCCTGTCTATTGTACTTGAATACAAAAAGTCAGTGCAATGTATTACAGTTTATAGCTGGCCTATACTTGTATCACTTTCTTTCCTCAACTGTGTAATATATTATACACCATTAGCTAGACTAATGACACTACCAAAAGAACTACTTTATGAAGCATGGAAATAATTAATAATGTTCTCTAACATAAAATGTCTCTAAGGTGAAACAAAGACATATATAAAACATAGATTTACAAATGGATTTGGGGCTCATACATAATTCTTCCCCAATCTAAGAACAATTGGTCCTAATGATATGGCCCCTACTTGGCGCTCACTTTCATGAAGCGATCACTGAAGATATGGGTGCTATAGCAAAGTGTGCTTAAGAAACCAGATCATGGCCAGTAACCAGAAAGAATAGCATCTAGGTTCTTAACGACTTATCTTCAAAGAAGCAATCATCTACGTGAGGTGTCAACTAAGTCCGCTTGAAAGAAGCACACCAACCTGTGTGATCCAAGAATTATAATTAATATAATCCAAACTAGAAGAATGGAATGGTATCAGAGCTTAAATTTTGAACACCTGGTTTGTAGAAAACTATGTATGACAGTAGAAGCCCAAAATCCATTTGGAGGGTCCACTCATAGATTAAGCAAACCTCTGGTGCATTCCTTCTAAAAACAGTTGAAGGAGGTGAATAGCCTTGCGATCATGCAGAATGCATTGCAAAAATGGATCATTACAGATGTCATTACGTTAGCATTTAAGACCTTATCATTTGATCCCCATTAAGATGCATTTTAAAATGGTTCTAGTTTTTTGATATTTAAAATTTTATTTTCTACCAGAGTCTTTCTCTGCTTTACTTTTCTATTGTTGTTTTAAGTGCATATTTTTCTGTATATGAAATCCAGGATAGGTAAATCTATACAGACAATAACTTACTGGATTAATGGTTTCTTGTGGGTATGGCAGGGAAGGTTGGAGGGGAAGGGAATATGGAGCTAATAAAAAGTACAAGAAGAAAGTGTTCTAAAATGGATTGTTGAAATGATTGTACAACTTTTTTGCTTTTTGATTGTACAACTTATGCTAGAACTATTGATCTGTATGATATATGGATTATGTGCCAATAAAACTATTTAAGAAAAAAAAGAGCAAGTTAATGCAAGCAGAAGTCACAATCCTTAAAAAGATTTTACTCTTAATGTTCATATTTACATTAGAGATGAAATGCTCCCACAGGCAAGGCTTATTACATGTAGAAGGAGACTTTCTCCTCTCATTTTTTTATGGGAAAAAGGTCCAAGAATCTGTTCTCATAAATATTATCGCTGACAAAGCCCTATGGAACAGCTCGAGATTGTCACATGGGGTCTCAATGGGGTGCAGCTGAGTAGAAGGCACCTATCAACCACAGCAACAAAAAGCATGAATGGAGTTTGAAGATAGGGGTGTGGACATAGTGACATGGATGTTATATGCTAACATGCTCATTTTCCTGAATTGGAGGAAAAACCATGGCTCTTTAACCTATGCATGTGGGTTTCAGATCCCCAAGAGAAAAATGGCCAAACCAAGGGTCCGTAATGAATGCCTTCCTAGGTACCTGAATCAATAAGTCATTACCACTAGAAGGGGAAAAAAATAATTACATCACTCAAGTAAAAATTGAAGGGAAGGGCCCGGTGTGAATTAAATATCTGAGAGGACCAGAGAAACAAGTTCCTTATTGAATTATCTCATTTTTATACTGTATCCTTATTATTATGTTTACATCACTTTCACTAATAAACTTTTGAATCACTGCTATCTAAAAATGTGCCAAAACCGAAATCCAGTGCCATCAAGTTGATTCTAATTCATAGTAACCCAAAATAGGGTTTCTGAGGCTTGTAAATCTTTACAGGAAGCCAACAAACTGAGGGACAAGGGAACAACAAGAGATTGAAAACTGTTGGCGAGGAGGGTGTAGAACACCTGGGGGTGTTTGATCAAGTGCAATGTAAACGAGAGGAATTACTGACAGCTGAATGAAGGTCGAACATGATAGTGGGACAGGAGGAAAGTAAAAGGAAATAAAGGAAAGAACTAGGAGGCAAAAGACATTTGGAGAGGTATAAATAAACGCACATATATATGTAAGTATATTAATATATAACAATAGGGATATAGGTCTATGTACATATATTAATATGATTAGTATCAAGGAAGCAGATGAACATTGAGCCTCTATTCAAGTCCTCTCTCAATGCAAGAACACTCTATCTTAATAACCCAACATTCTGTGAGGCTCATCTTCCTGACACGATCACTGAAATCAAAATGGGTACATAAGCTAATGTGGGGAAGAAAGCTGATGGTGCCTGGCTATTAGAAGATATACTCTCTGTGGTCTTAAAGGCTTGAAGTTAAACAAGTGGCCATCTAGCAGGAAAGCAACAAAGTTCACATGGAAGAAGTACACCAGCCTGTGTGATCATGAGGTGTCGACAGGATCAGGTATCAGGCCTCAGAAGACCCCAAACAATTATATCGATGCAAATGGTGGGGGTTGAAGTGGAGACTCAAAACCCATCTGCAGAAAAGTGAACATCACCTCACAGAAGGGTCAGAAGGAAAGGACGAGCCAGCCAGGGTGCAGTATGGCACCGGCAAAACACACAATATTCCTCTAGTTCTTTAATGCTTCCTCCCCCCAGCTATCATGACCCTAGTCCTACCTTAAAAATCTGGCTAGAACAGAGCATGTACACTAGTACAAATAAGTGCTCCCAACAAACTGGATCCAGGGCAGAAAACCACCTCAGGAATAATAATTGGGAGTAATGATACCATGAGGGAAGAGGAAAGTGGGGAGGGGAGAAGGGAAACTGATCACAATGATAGACATATTAACCCCCTCCCTACCCCCTGAGGGATAAACAACAGAAATGTGGGTGAAGGGAGACAGTGGTTGGTGTACAATATGAAAATAATAATTTATAATTTATCAAGTGTTCATGAGGGTGGGGAGGGTGGGGGAAAACGAGGAGTTGATGCCAAGGGCTCAAGTAGAAAGAAAATGTTTTGAAAATGATGATGGCAACATATGTACAGATGTGCTTGAAACAACTGATGCATGGACTGTTCTAAGAACTGCAAGAGCCCCAATAACAATGATTTATTAAAAGACAATCTTGACAGGACCAGATAGTCTCATCTGTCTCCAACAGAATGGCCAGTGGGTTGACCCCTTGTTGTTAGCAGCCTAAGCTTACCTGCTAGTCACCTAGATATGTTTAAGATACAATAATAACATTTCTTTTCTGTCAAGAAAAAATTATCATCTAATTATATACCTCAAAAAGAGAATTGGCAAAGCCTTGTGCTAAGTAAACTCAAATGCCCTTGGCACTTAAATTAATCTAATGCTTTTAAAGTACCCCAGGCACTAAGCTTAAGCACAGTGAGAAATCTCTGAGGAACAGCACAAGAGAAAGGCGTGTAAATGACACAGTTCCAAGGGAAAACACTCCTTATCCTACAGATTGAATCTAACCAACAACCTTGTAAAATAATCCAGGACAGATAGGAAAGATTAAAGTAGGCGGCACAACAAACCATAAATTATTTGGAACCAGTCTACTCTGCAGTGCTCTGGCACCACATTTTTGGAGAGTCTCAAGCAATCAGAATACACTGAGACCAGGAAAAAAAAGAAAAACAGCCTCTCCTTCCCTTTGGGTTGATTCCAACTCAGAGCAACCCTATAGGACAAAATAGAACTGCTCGTGTGGGTTTCTGTAACTATAATTCTTTATGGTAGTAGGTAGCCTTCTCTTTCTCCTGTTGAATAGCTGGTGGTTTCAAACTGATGATCTTGTAGTTTCAAACTGATGATCTTGGGGCTAGCAGTTCAATGTATAACCACTCCTCCACCAGGGCTTTCTACTAAAACCAGAGCAACCTCCAAAGGAAAACTCAAAAAGAATGACTGAGACATTGGAGATGCTAAGCTTGGAGAACAGAAGAATATGTGTACGGTTCTGTCTTCAATTACCTGAATGACTGTCATTAATTGTAAGAAAGTAGACCATTAAAAAGAATCAAAGAGATTTCATCAAATCTCTTCTTCATTAGATGTTCATGATTTCTAGAAAGAAAAAGGGCTGCCATGAGATTCAATTTCCTTTCAACTGTGAGCGTCTACGACAATAAGACAGCACCCCATTTCCCCTCTCTGTGGAGGTTGTGATAGAATTTTCGCTGCCATCAGGTCAACACTGATTCATAGCAACCCCCTGTGGGTTTTTGAGACTGCAACTGTTCACAGGAGCAGAAAACCCAATGTCTCCTACAGAGCTGCTGGTGATTTTGAACTTCTGGCCATGCAGTTTGCAGCCCAACATGTAACCACTACACCCTCCATGGTGACAGAATTATGTGTCCATAACTAAGTGTGGCAGTTACATAATCTCCTGTCAACTTGTGAAGGGGTGGAACCTAGCCTGTCAACCAGGTTGGAGCTTGATAAGCTCATTTGGAAGCGCAAAGGAGATAAATAGCTGACTGGAGGCCGGACTCACACTCTCTCTGCCTTATCTTCCTGCTGACAAGACACATGGATCTACACAGATGGAGCCAGAGCCCTGGAGCTGGAGGCACCACGTGGAGACCCACGCCAGCACAGAGGTGCTTCCACCGCCACTGGATCCACAAGACTTTCCACCCACTGGCCTGTGATCTTCCAGCTTTCGGCACCATTGCTTGTGTTACATGAGTCTGAAGAGGAATTTATAAACTGGTTTCTGACATATGGGCTAATGTCAGACTTATGGGCTTGATCTGAACTGGGCTTGGATGTTTTCTCAATATGCAATCACTCTTTGATCTAAAGCTCTTACATATATATGAGTGTCCTGGATTTTTTTCTCTAGTCCACCAAAACTAACACACTAAGACTCACATTTGGTGAATTTACCTGTCCTACATGAATTAAGGAAAATCTATTTGAATAAATCTGTGAATATCTGCAGGGCAATTAGTTACCACCTCCTACTTTTGAACTGTGGCTTCTGCACTCACATCTCAGAGTCCTGTTGGCAGTAACAATGAATTCCATGGGGCCTCTGTGTTGTTGGTACAGTACTTCAGGGCTCTGCTTTCCCAGGTTTCTTTTGTCTGCTCTAATCTGGTATCATTTTCCGGATTCCCAGCCCTTCACGTTCTTACTCATGCGTTAATACCCATCCTCAGTACCTCTAAGACTGGCCTCCATTCTCAGTTCTCTGACCTGAAAGAGCAGAGAACTTCTAGCTTTTGCCAAACCTAATTACGACTCTGTTAACGTCAATCCCAGCCTTCCTCATGCTCAACCTCTACCAAAGAGCACTGTACGCGAACTTACACAAACATTTCCGTGCTCTTCGATTCTCAAAAACAAACAAACAAAACCCAAACTAAAAGAAAACCCTAGTAGGAATTAGACCAGTGGTTTTCAAGATGAGAACCAGAATCATTGGTGCAAATCTTCTTGACATGATTGAACAATTGAATTGTACGATGTGAATGATGTGCCAGTAAAATTAAAAATAATAATAATAATAAAGAATCACCGGTAGATATTTTAATAAGCATGAGAGTTCTCATCCCCAAAGCTTTGCATCCGTTTGCTTCAATAAGGCCTAAGCAACTCTCTCTCTACATATTTAACTTCCTAATTGAGAATTAGGTGAAAGTTTATAAAGTAGATCATTAGTTTCGCACTAAACAGTGTATGCAAATTCTTTGTTTGAACTCATCCGTTTCCATCTCTTCAATGCGCCTGCGTTCTTTCTCCCGGCTTCCTGTTTCCACTCCTCCTCCATCTCGAAGCCTCTTGGGTTGATTAATCCACTACAGAGCTCCTAAGTGAGCCGACACATAGTCAGAGCTGAGAATTGCTACTTGAAGCAAGTCAATACTTCCTTTTGATTAACGAACACCTTTTGTGCACCAAAGCCTGAAGTAAGCATTTTTATATAAATAATCCCATGTAATCTAACATGGGAAGTGCGGCTACTACAATCATTTCAGGGAAGTACACTGAAGCATAGGCAGTGCAGGCAGTAAACAGGGACGAGGGCTAACCCAGGCAGGCGCCACTCTCATCGCAGCACAGCAGTTACAGAAGAGATAGACCGATGCTAGAGATCTCTGCCGTGTGTGTGTGTGTGTGTGTGTGTGTGTGTGTGTGTGTGTGTGTGTGTTGTACAGAGAGAGAAAACCTTGGGGGCCCTTTGCTCAACTTACTCTTTATTCAATTTTCCCTAATGTTGTATTTTAGTCAACTCAACAATAATACTTACAGCTGTTCAATTTGCTCAAATTCTTTTCCTCCATCTGTGTAAACAGAAGAATGTAAGGATTAAGGTTCATTTACTCCTTTTGTGTGGCAGCCACGTTCCTTTCACTTTCCCCTAGGAAACGAGCACCGTGCTGTTCCCTCCCTTTGGCACGAGGGACAGAAACACCACGGCAGACATCGGCACGCCACCAGGCCTCTGCCAAGTCCCCAGGCCTCCCCCCAATCAACCAAACATAATTTTTGTGCCCTGGGATTTGGAAAAATAGATAAATGATTTGCAATGATTAGATTTGGGCTTAAAAAGTTACAGAATGTAAAACTTATTTTCTTAGCAGACCTTGGATTTCTCAACTCATAACCCATCAAGCACAGGGTCAAATAAAGGAAGCTGACAGAAAAAACAAATGTCTCTTGTTTGGGAACTCCAGAAGTTTGATAAAACTAAGTGTAAAGAATGAAATATCTAAGTGAAAGAATAGTTGTAGGCGATGGCGGATGATATAAGATATGAAAATAATAATCTATAACTTATCAAGGGTTTGTGAGGGAGGGTGGACGGGGGTGCGGGAGGGGGAGCTGAAATCAGGGGCTCAAGTGGGAAGAGAATGCTTTGAAGATGATGGTGGCATATGTGCAAATGTGCTTGACACAAAGGATGAATGTATGGATTGTGATAAGAGATGTAAGAGTCCCTAACAAAAGGACTATTTTATTTAAAAAAAATAGTTGTTTGTCTTTGCCATGTTTTCTGTTAGACCATGCCAGCATTTTCTAATTTCTGAGGCCAAAACACACATCACCTAATTGGTGCTCAGGCACAGGAGTACCAAAGGAAAGACAATACCAAACAATGTTAGTGCTCTGAGTTTAAGGACGTACGTTGCTCCAAGTGCATAACTCTCTGACACTATTTGAACATAAAACACAATCCAAATTAAAACAAAAATCAAAAAACTGGATTCCTCCCAAAACGTTCATGTCGCTGCAGTCTGATAGCTTAAAAAAAAAAAAAAAGTTGGGGAAGAAAAGAAAAAGCCCTACCTGGTTGACTTCTTTTCCTTTGTGTATACATTTCACAAAGCAGAATGGCAGTCACTAAAAGAATAACCTCAGCGACTACTGCAAAGAAGGGCTTCAGGGGCACCAAATAGGTCAGCACCACCAACTCAGTGAGGAGTTCCCTCTCCCCTAACTGGAAGACCGCACGGCACCAGTAAGACCCCTGGTCCTCCTCTGTAAGCTGCATTATCTTGAGCTTTGTTTCATTGCCGTGCGTTCCATTGATCACATAGAATTTATCACTCAGTTGAATGTTGACAGGGACCTGATAGAAAGAGATATTAAAAATGCATAAGTATCATATTGTATAAGGGATACGTGTCCTAAAGGACCTACTTTCCAGTTATAGCAATAGGATGATGCTGGGAAAACTGCTTACTGCAAAAGGCACAGGATAGCGTATTGAAATTTGTGAGAAGTTTTACATTTGATCTCCTGGAGGTAGCAAACGATTTCAAACTACAGTGCATAGATTATCCTGGACAATGTTCCATGAGGGGATGAAGGGACAGTCCCAGCCATCTGGGTTTCATGTTCTAGTCCTCCACTAGCTCGTTAGTTCAAGTGCTGCCTCCTCCATCCGTCTCAGGCAAACACCGAAACAACCAGTTCTGTGGCCCTACCACCTCTGGTCACTCTCCCAAGGAAGAGCGCTCACTCCTAACAAGGTGACATCTTCGAGACTGTGGAACTGACCGAAAGGAATGAACGGTGAAAACCACCCTTGGCCCTGCCATATACGGGTGTCCACACATGTTCAGAAGCAGCCTCGGTGCTGCAGTGATACGGCCCTTCGCCACCCACCAAAAGGTCTGCGGTTGACACAATGGATGGATTGTCATAAGACGTGTACGAGCCCCCAATAAAATGATTTTTAAAAAAAGGTCAGTGGTTCCAAAGCCCCAGCTGTTCTGTTTGCACAAAGGTTTGTTGTTGTTGTTGTTGTTGTTGTTGTGACTTCAAGTCAATTCTCACCCAAAGTGACCCGGTGCACAACAGAAGAAACACTGTCCAGTTGTGGCCAGCCTCACAATTGTTCCTGTGTTTGAGCCCATTGTTACAGCCACTATGTCAACGCACCTCCCTGATGGGCTGCCTCTTCTCCGCCGCTCCTTACTTTACCAAACATGCAGGAAGATCCACAGCCTTGGGAACCTTGCGGAGAAAGTTCTGCTCTGTCCGAGTCCACTAGAGGGCGACCGTCAGGGGGTACTCATTCTGCCTTTTCTTCTCTGACATTCTTCCCAAGCAGGCGTCTGTGATGCTCGGAATCCTTCTCAAACTCTCAAGAGTCAGACCAACGGATTTCGTAGGGCTTTTTTATTTAATCTATTTGCATTACATTTTATTTTCAAGCCATTTGATGCCTCCATTGCTCTCACTCCACTGCACAGTTCAATATACATATATCCTTGGAGGTTGTCTAATGAAGAGCCGTCTGAGTATAATTTGCTGGAAGATCTTAGCAAAGTGGCCGGCTGCCTGCTCTGAGTGCACTCAAAGCATGGCTAGTGAATGGGAAGCTCTGCGATTGCACAGGTAGCCCGGGGAGGGTAATTCTAACACAGACCTGCACTCTCTATTGTGAAAAATCCTTGACTCAGGGTTTCTGAACCTAATTATTCCGACTTTTTATACCATCCTAATGTGCTCCCTATGTAGGGCCAAATTAAGAGAGGATTAGCATAGCTGGGAGAGAAGCAAAGGAGCCCTGGTGGCACCTCCTTTAACCACCGGGCTGCTAACAAACAGCAAGGTCAGTGGTTCCCATCCACCAGCTGCTCCACAGGGAAAAGAGGAGGCAGTCTGCTCCTGAGTCTGTAAACTCAGCCTGTGAGCCTGTGGAGGAGCAGGACTCTATCCTGTAGGTCCCTGTGAGTCAGAATCAACTCCCTCGCAGTGGAGATTTGTTTTGTTTGTGGTTTTTGTTTTTGACAGAGTCCAGGTACTTGCAAGACTATTGCAAAACATTAGGATACATTAAAAAAAAAAAACACCTCATGGTCACTGAGTCAACGCAGACTCATAGCAATCCTACAGGACAGAGCAGAACTGCCCCTGTGAGTTTGAGGCAGTAATTCTCCCCACACTCCCCTCCCCCTGGAATCAACTCAGTTTTTTTGGCACATAATCCACATACCATACCACTCAATGGTTCAATCATATCAAGAAGAATTGTACAATCATTACCACAATCAATCTGAGAATATTTTCTTTCTTCTTTTTTTCTCCATGGGTTAAATGACCTTTAAAATGAGCTGTGTAATCACGATCAGTTCTAGTGCTCCCTCCCTGCTCCTGCATTTATCAGGCTGTAATTCTTTATGGGAGTAGAAAGTCCCATTATTGGTTTTGAACTGCTCACCTTGCAGTTAGCAGTCCAATGAGTAACTACTATGCCAACAGGGCTCCTTTAAGATAAATTGGGAAGGTCTAAGTTTTCTCTTTATTTTCCTATGATATATAAGTAAAATTTCTCTTTCTATATATATGTGTGTGTGTGTGTGTGTGTGTAAAATATATCTCTATATAAGTTTTTTTCCTATATAATGTAAAATATATTTCTATTTGTTCCACCTATTTACATGTTTGTAAAAATGTTTACCAACACACTAACTAAACTGCTGCCATTTCTAGTCACCCTCAAGGGAGAAATGATAATGATCAAAATCTGCACCTAAGTGATATGGAAATGCTTCTCTAAACTCTCAACACACTGTTCCTACAGAATCAGGCGACATTCTTTCGAAGTGCTCCCTCGGCCACCCTTCACCAGCCTAGTATACAACCAATTTTGACTAAAGTAATTTACCACCTCATTGTCAGCTCGACACCATCTCAGACTGTTCCTTTTAGAAGCACAACTTGCTTTTAGCAAGACTTTGGTTTGAATCCGTATCAGCACCAGGACAAAAGAGGGCTGTTCCCTGTGAGGTGCTGTCCCGAATTTCCCAGTCATTAGGAAGAAAGAGGGAAGCTAGAAATGATGTCTTTAATACTAATGTGTTTTTTAAGATCAACTCTTTGGTCATTTCTCTTAAACAAATAGGTATTAACAGTAGTTGGCTCCCATGAGGTCTCCAGAGGCCACAAAAAGGTCAATTTCTTTTATTAATAAAATATGAGACTTAGGTTTAAGTTGTCAAATTTTCAAAGTTTTAAATTTTCATGTTTAAGTTTTCAAATATTTATTCCTTTCTCAAATGGTGTACTTGTGCTACATTCATCACAGATGTTGGAGAAGCCAAAAACAGGAAATGGTGGTCTTTTTTTTCTTCTAATTACTCTCATGGAATAAGAAAGCGCTTGTAGGAAGATATTTTTTGAACCTTCGCAACTAAAAATGGATTGTGACTTCCTTCCAAGAAATTTCACTAAATTGCTAAACTTAAAAAATAAATGGGGAAACAGTTTATGAAATTTAGGGTACCTTCAGACATATACTGTAATATGCTGAAAATATTAGGAGGCAATCCACTTATTGCTATAACTTAATTAATACATATTAAAGAGCAAGGTACTAGAAGTACAAACCATTCTAGGGATTATGAATCAGTTATATTAACATTATTTATGCAATAAAAGTGATTTAGTTAAAAATCAAAGACATTTGGTCCTACCTGCACACTCCCATTACTACTGTACCAGATCCAACTCACGGGAACACAGTTGGGACATCTACATGCCAAGACAGTAGTATCTCCCACATATGTGACTGCTGGCTTGGTTTTACCTTGAATTTCAGGGACTATGGGAAATTAAGAGAAATATATGTTAGTAGAGGAGTTTGAAGACAGGGCTCCAACTATGGTTAATTTCTACTTTCATTTTCTCACTAATATAATTTCACTTAAATTCTATATAAAATGAAACTGATTTATAATAGTTGATACACTAGATATGCAATGTAGAAGAAAATACTTTTGTAATTGAGATAGCTAGTTTATTGTGCCAGCCTGGCCGATAGACACATGTGGGATTAATTGAAGGGCAGAGAGATGAGTGGCTCGGTGAGCCTCGCCTTTCTTGTCTCTCGCTCTTTGATCATTGGACCAGTGTGAGGCTGCCCTACTTGTCTGTGCCTCAATTTGCAAGCTACACTACCTGTGGGACACCTAACCTAGGACTGTGTCGCTGTAATTTGAGGTCCCTTTAAGATCTGCCTCACCACACAATTGGAATTTACATGTCTTGAGCTGGGGACTGACTGTTGGTGACCTGCTTTGCTGTTTGCTGCCTGTGCCGGGATAGCCTGAATCTCTCTACAGAGGACTACCTGGCGGCCCTCAAGACTTGAACGACTGCCAGTGTCTCACAACCTTCTCATGGGAGTGAGTTGCAGAGCCATTTGTACTGCTTTATAATTTAACTGTTCATTTCTTGTATTATCTAACCATCTGTATATAATTTAACTATTCATTTCTTATGTTATATATCTATATGTCTTTATATATATCTTTATATATGTACTTATATATATATAATTTTATCTCTCTAGAGAACCCTGTCTAACACAATAATGAAGAATAATAATAGTAAAATTTATGGAAAAGGCTTTATTTCAGTTTCTTTAGTATGTCACCTACGTGAACATATATGTTCAAGTTACTAGGGAGTGGATAAGGAATAAAATAACCTATTTGTAAACCAATTCTGTCCACCTATCAAATTACCTGAGAGCTATTCTTTTCAAAGTTCTACACTTAGATTACATTTGAGTGGAGATAAATTTTCAGGATATAGCATCATTAGTTCATAGACTTATGGAAAGTAAGCAAAGAGAGAAAGTTGCAACAGGAGAAATGAACAAAAGTTATGAGGCAGAGAAAAAGAGTTAAAATAGAACATAAGATTAAAACTTACTTTGTGATGAAAATATATATACACCATTGGTATTATCATCAAATTCTTAATCAAGAAGGGTTGAAGCAGAAAATATTGGTAAGATAATAAGGATGGACATTGAATTTAGGGGGAAATCCATTTTAAGGATATAAAAAAGTTAGTAAAGAAAATTAAACCACGAGAACATGAACAATGTGAAAAAAGTCACCCCACAAACAACAGATTGTAAATATTTATCTTACTATCTCCTTCACAGTCAGCCAAAAATGTACACTTAACAAAGATTACTTTTGTACCTGTTCATTTTTGTTTTCCTAATTTTAGCACATTTTTGTGTTTTACCTTTATTTATTTTAGTTTCCCATGAGAGAGAATGGTTGAAATTATGTCTAGTTTCTTTTTTTTCAATAGTTCTATTGATTAAAATTTCACATATCATATACTTCCATTTTGCTTTTAAAAACAATTGTATATATATCATCACAAACAGTTCTAGTGCTCGCCCCTCTCTCCCATATTCACTGCTTGTTCCTCAATTCCCCTCAACTTCCTCCTGCCTCCCATTCCCTCCCCCCGCCATTCCTGATAAGTTATTACATCAGTCATTGTCTCTTTTTCGTGTGTCATAAACTGGGAAACAGAAACAATAAAAAAAACAAATAAATCAGAACAGAAAAAATGTAGGAGAGAAAGAAAAGACCACCAGGAATAATACAAATAAGTAGAAAAATGGTCTGTCTTAGAACAAGTGAGAAATATTTAAACCTAGAGAAAATTCAGATTGGGTCAAAAGGGAGGACAACTGACCATGTATATTATACTTTAGTTCCATCCACCATGATCAAGTTTACAATCATCTCTGTCTGATATTAAAGTTATTTGTATCCTTTAGCTGTGGGCAAGAAGTCTTTCTATACTGTAGACCTTAGCCAACCCCACAGGAAGGATTGTGTTCATATGGAGGGATGGTTTCCAAGCCACCTGGCCATTTAGAACAGAAATAAAAATAAAAAGGAAAATTGGAAGTGAATCTGAACACCGTTCAGAACCACTGGAAAGGGCATTTAGAACAGAGAAGAAATTAGAAGAGAACAGAGAATTAGAAGTTAATATGAACATATTTAAGAACCACAGAAAGGTGCATAAACCCTAGAAAGATCTAATGGCTCCAAATTGAGCCACTTACTGATCCCCTTATCCATCTGAGGCAGAAGGTTAAACTATTAGACACGAAGAGCAGGAGGTAAATTCACAAGAGACAAAGACTGGGAGAAAAATAGCCTAAGCAGCAACTTCCAATTGGCTCAAAGTATCCACACACTCTTTCATTGAAGGGGGAACGAGTTATTCAATGTGGCTCTTCTAGCCAAAGTCTCTAACTCCCACCAATGCCCTTTCCCTGAATGGGTCTGGTAAGAATGTGGGAGAAGCTACTGATAGGATTCACCTGTAACTGCAAACAGGCTTCCCCGGAATGCCATTGTGCTGCATGTAACAAGAGCCCTCTGAGAAGCGGGAGGAGGGATCTCATTAGCAGCCAGAGCCAGGAGTGGAGCACCTCATCTGGACCCAAGATCCTTGCAATGAACCTCCTGGATCCAGATGACTGCTATACCATCAGAGCAGCTGCAGAACCAGGAACCAGAGCATGGAACAGGGTGATGGACTCAAGGAACAAGTAAAGCTGAGTGACTGCGCAGACAGCTGTCTTGTGAAGTGGGATGCCTCTGGGAACTTAATTGGGGACACGGAGCTTGCTGACCCAAGGAGCTTAAGCTTTTGATTGGAGGCTGATAGCAGAGGGGTGTGTTCCTTGGAGATTTATTAGCTGACTTTACAGAACACTCCACATGTCCTCATAAACAATTCAACCTTGAGTCTCATTTCTCATTGCCATTGCAACATGGTAACTGCCTTAATAAACCAAAATTCATAGATTTTGTCTGAGTTTGTGTACCTATTGCAACAGATATTAGAATCCAAAGATGTAAAATAAAGAACACTAATTAAGACAACATGCAATAATACTTTTTTTTTTTTGCAATAATACTTTATGTATTAAGTTTACTCTTCAGAGAACTGAAACCAATCTACAGCCTTGATCAAGGCATTCAGGTGTTTGGCAAAGACAGTTGCAAATGACGGTGTTTGGCAGCCCCAAATACTAAGTGGGTGCCTGCCCCTCCCCCGAGAAGAATTTATCTCAAAGGATGGCACTGAATCTGCAGCTTTGGGAGAAGGATATATCTGACCAGAGCACACAGG